TCATCATAATATTGTAATACAATGGAAACTAGGTAATTTGCGGTTTATATATCTGTGGAATGATGTCTAGGATGGGAGAAAGAACTCTTGTCTGTTGGAGGCAAGGGTGAATGTTGCTATTGGCCACCTTCATTAGCGTTGAATGGCCTTGCAGCTTCAAAGCCTGGCTGCTTCCTGCCTGGGGGAATCCTTTGTTGGGAGGTGCTATCTGGCTATTATTATTGCTGTGAGTTTTCCGGGATATCTGGATAATGTCCAGAGTGGGAGAAGGAACTCTTGTCTGCTTGACACAGGGGTGAATGTTGCAATTGGCCATCTTAATTAGCACTGAATAGCCTTTCCACTTCAAAGTCTGGCTGCTTACTGCCTAGGTGAATCCTTTGTTGGGAGGTGTTACCTAGCCCTGATTGTCTCATGTCTGGAATTTCCCCAGACAGTGAGGTTTATATATTTGTGGATTGTCCAGGGTGGGAGAAAGAACTCTTGTCTGCTTGAGGCATGTCGAATGTTGCAATTAGCCACCCGGATTAGCATTGAATGGCCTTGCAGCTTCAAAGTCTGGCTGGTTGCTGCCCGGGGGAATCCTTTGTTGGGAGGTGTTAGCTGGCCAACATTCACACTTCTTTCTCCCACCCTGGACATCATTCAACAGATATATAAACCAGCCTCAATGCTTGGCTGCTTCCTGCCTGGAGGAATCCTTTGTTGGGAGGTGTTAGCTAGCCAATGGATCCACCCCCAGGCAGCAAGCAGCCAGGCTTTGGAGCTATAAGACCATTCAATGCTAATCAAGGTGGCCAGTGTCAACATTCAGACTTTTTTATCCCACTCTGGACATCTATATCTGTTGAATGATGTCCAGGGTGGGAGAAAGAAGTCTGAATGTTGACACTGGCCACCTTGATTAGCATTGAATGGCCTTGTAGCTCCAAAGCCTGGCTGGTTGCTGCCTCAACCAACCTCAATGCCTGGCTGCTTCCTGCCTGGGGAAATCCTTTGTTGGGAGGTGTTAGCTGGCCAATGGATCCACCCCCTGGCAGCAACCAGCCAGGCTTTGGAGCTATAAGGCCATTCAATGCTAATCAAGGTGGCCAGTGTCAACAATCACACTTCTTCCTCCCACCCTAGACATCATTCTACAGATATATAAATCTCACTCGCCTAGTTTCCAACAGACCTCTCAACCTTTGAGGATGCCTGCAATAGATGTGGGCAAAACGTCAGGAGAGAATGCTGCCGGAACATGGCCAGACAGAACTGTATTGATCCATTGAAACTGTATTGACCCATTGAATGTGCGGTGCTAGGAATTGGTTTTCAGTTGCAGATGTTTTCCCCAACCCCTGGGCTGTCTCATTTGCATTGTAAACGCCCTTTTGTAGTTCATTGCTTGGGGGCAAACTACCTGGAATGAGGCTTTGCCTTGGAAAGGACTCCAAAATACTCCTAATGCTAAGCTTTCAGTCTGCAATCATGTGAACCAGTGGTTCCCAATCTGTGATCCACAGAGCACCAGTGGTGTGCAAGGGCTAAAATATGGTCCACAGCCTCGTTGTTACTACACCGTTGCAACAAGAGTGACTCGTCTCTTGAAACCCTCTTATAGTGCCAGGGTTTATTAAATACGGTTTTCTGTGGGTGACTATTTCTGTGGGTGACTATTGGGTAGACCACATCAGCTCTAGCATATGGTCTGTATCACAAACTAGAGCTGATGTGGTCTACCCAATGCAATTTTCTGAATCGGCACCCCAAATAACCAAACCGAATATAAACTTGACCAAAAACTGATTCGTAACCCTTTTGGTACTAATGTTGAAGAGTGGTCCTTGGTCAAAGTGGTCCCTGGAGAAAGTGGTCCCTGGTCAAAGTGGTCCCTAGTCAAGTGGTCTCTGATCAAAGTGGTCCCTAGTCAAGTCATCTCTGGTCAAAGTGTTCCATGGTCAAGTGATCTCTGGTCAAGTGGTCACTGGTCAAGTGGTCCCTAGTCAAGTAGTTCTTTGTGAAAGTGTTCCCTGGTCAAAGTGGTCCCTACTCAACTGGTCCCTGATCAATCTGTATTGCATGGTCAGTGTATACCCATACTTAACGGCATTGAATAACATTCTATAGGTCTACACTAGTGGTTCCCAACCTTCTTTTTTGACCAGGGACCACTTGACCAAAAACCACTTTGACCAGAGACCACTTGACCATGGACACATCGACCAGATCAAAGTGGTTCGTGGTCAAAGTCCCTGGTCAAAATGGTCCCTGGTCAATCTGTATTGCATGGTCAGTGTATACTCATATTTTATGGCATTAAATAGCATTCTATGGGTCTACATTGGTGGTTCCCAACCTTTTTTTTTTTTGACCAGGGACTACTTGACCAAAAACCACTTTGACCAGAGACCACTTGACCAGGGACCACATTGACCAGGTCAAAGTGGTCCCTGGTCAAGTGGTCCCTGCTCACAGTGGTTCCTGATCAAGTGGTTCCTGGTCAAAGTGGTCCCAGGTCAAGTGATCTCTGGTCAAGTGGTTCTTGGTCAAAATGGTCCCTACTCAACTGGTCCCTGGTCAATCTGTATTGCATGGTCAGTGTATACCCATAGTTAATGGCATTGAATGGCATTCTATGGGTCTACACTAGTGGTTCCCATAGAATGTGGTCAAAGTGGTCCCTGGTCAAGTGATCCCTAGTCACAGTGGTTGCTGATCAAGTGTTCCTTTGTCAAAGTGTTCCCTTGTCAAAGTGATCCCTGGTCAAAGTGGCCCCTGGTCAAAGTGGCCCCTGGTCAAAGTGATCCCTGGTCAAAGTGGTCCCTGGTCAAGGGGTCCCTTGTTAAGCGATCACTGGTCAAAGTGGTCCCTGGTCAAAGTGGTCCCTAGTCAAGTGGTCCCTGGTTTAAAAAAAGGTTTGGGAGCCATGGACTCATAGAATGTCATTCAATGCCATTAAATATGGGTATACACTGACCATACAACAGAGATACAGACAACAGTATAGAGTCAGCCATTCTGTCAAATGGCATTTCAATCAATCCTCTTCCGTGCTCTCTCAGCTCAGCTACCTGTAGTAATAATGTAATGTCACGAAAGGGCTTCCTTTTGCATTTCATCCTTGAGTACTTGCTGCTTACTCACCTTGTGTTCATATTGTGGTTTTCTTTGCTCCGGGTGAACAAGATCCTTTCCTCTGAATCTTTTGCCTGAGATTAACTGTGATGTGGCTAAACATACATAAAAAATTTTGTTGGGTAGGATTATGAGGTAGCTGGAAGTGGTCATTAAAACGCGTAATCCGGAACAGGTTTATGAGCGAACTGGTTCCATTGAATCCGCTTGTGAAGAAACTGAATCTTACTTCTGCCTAAACATGCTGGCGATTCAGATGTTGTATACATCAGAAGACCTGAGGGGGTCAGAGGGGTCACCAAAGACCATCCGAAAACATATATTTTTGCTGATCAAGGGGAGAGCTGTATCTGAGACTCCAAGCGAAGAGGGGAGAGCAGGCGTGGTTAGCACATGGCAGAGTGGTGACGAGGGAGAGGAGGCGAGGCTGGAGGGAGGCTCACACCAAAGAGTCCCTTCAAGACTTGGGTTTTCTGTGTGGGACGTTTGGCACAATGTTATCATTGATGGGGTTCAGAATGCTCTTTGATTGTAGGTGAACTACAAATCCCTGCAATGACAACTCACCAATGTCAAGGTCTATTTGCCCCGAACTCCACCAGTGTTTACATTTGGGCATATTGAGTATTCGTGCCAAGTTTGGTCCAGATCTATCATTGGTCATGGGAGTTCTGTGTGCCGAGATTGGTTCAATTCCATTGTTGGTGGAGTTCAGAATGCTCTTTGATTGTAGGTTGACTATCAATCCCAGCAAAAACAACTCCCATATGTCAGGATCTGTTTTCCCCAAACTCCACCAGTGTTTACATTTAGGCATATTGAGTATTCATGCCAAGTTTGGCCCAGATCCATCATTGTTTGAATCCGTAGTGCTCTCTGAATGTAGGTGAACTACAACTCCCAAACTCAAGGTCAATGCCCACCAAACCCTTCCAGTGTTTACTGTTGGTCATGGGAGTTCTGTGTGCCCAGTTTGGTTCAATTCCATCATTGGTGGAGTTCAGAATGCTCTTTGATTGTAGGTTGACTATCAATCCCAGCAAAAACAACTCCCATATGTCAGGGTCTGTTTTCCCCCAAACTCCACCAGTGTTTACATTTGGGCATATTGAGTATTTGTGCAAAATTTGGTCCAGATCCATCATTGTTTGAGTCCACAGTTTTCTCTGGATGTAGGTGAACTATAACTCCCAAACTCAAGGTCAATGCCCACCAAACCCATCCAGTGTTTACTGTTGGTCATGAGAGTTCTGTGTGCCAAGTTTGGTTCAATTTCATCATTGGTGGAGTTCAGAATGCTCTTTGATTGCAGGTTGACTATCAATCCCAGCAATGACAACTCCCAAATGTCAAGGACTGTTTCCCTCAAACTCCCCCAGTGTTCACAATAGGGCATATTGAGTATTCGTACCAAGTTTGGTCCAGATCTATCATTGTTTGAGTCCACAGTGCTCTCTGGAAGTAGGTGAACTACAACTCCCAAACTCATGGTCAATGCCCATCACACCCTTCCAGTATTTTCTGTTGGTCATGGAAGTTCTGAGTGCCAAGTCTGGTTCAATTCCATTATTGGTGGAGTTCAGAATGCTCTTTGATTGTAGGTGAACTATAAATCCCAGCAACAACTACTCCCAAGTTGTAGTTCAGTCCTGCCCCAACCCCACCAGTATTCAAATGTAGATATTGACATGACAATTCATAACAGTCACAAAATGACAGGAAGTAGCAACCAAAACAATGTTATGGTTGAGGGTCACCACAACATGAGGAACTGTATTACGAAGGTTGAGAACCACTGCTCTAGAGTATGCCTGAAATAGTATGCAGAAGGTGAGGAATACATTGTCCATCCTAACACAGAACTCCAAAACTTGTTCTAGGTTTAAAGAATGGCAAACGCAGAAGTGCAAGAGAAAGCCACCGATCTGAAAGAGGAAGATCCGGCCCTCATTGAGTTCTACAGCTCCTTCAAGGACTTGTTTGAGTTCTTCTGCCTCAACACCACCATCCATGGCACCATCCGCCTGGTCTGCTCCAGCCGCAACAAGATGAAGACAGCCTTCTGGGCCCTCCTCTTCCTCGCCAACTTTGGCATGTTGTATTGGCAATTTGCCCTCATCTTCAACCAGTATTGGGGCTATCCCGTCGTCATGTCCCTCTCCGTCCACTCAGAGCCCAAGATGTTCCCTGCGGTCACCATATGCAACTTGAATCCCTACAGGTAAGGATGAGATGGTCCAGAACTTTGTTTTTGAGATCCACCAGGGTGATTTAGATAATGTTTTTGTATCTGGCTATAGGAATATAGCCATGCGCTTCTCCAATGTCTCCCAACTCATCTCCAGATACATAATGGCCATGATTGCAGCTGCTTATTCGAGATAACACTTCTCTAGAAAACTCTAGGTCCTCCTGCCTGATATGACCAACGTCATCTATGGAGGATCTAGGAAGTCCTACAGAAGTGTTCATTCTAGAAATATCTTGGTTCCTCCTATCTGAATCTATGGCCAACTTCATCTATGGAGGATCTAGGAAGTCCTACAGAAGTGTTCATTCTGGAAATCTCTTCGGTCCTCCTGTCTGAACCTATGGCCAATGTCATCTATGGAGGACCCAGGAAGTCCTACAGAAGGGTTCATTCTAGAAATCTCTTCGGTCCTCCTGTCTGAACCTATCGCCAACGTCATCTATGGAAGACCTAGGAAGTCCTACAGAAGTGTTCATTCTAGAAATCCCTTCGGTCCTCCTGTTTGAGCCAATGGCTAAGATTATCTATGGAGGACCTAGGACAGTGGTTCTCAACCTGTGGGTCCCCAGACTTTTTTGGCCTTCAACTCCTAGAAATCCTAACAGCTGGTAAACTGGCTGGGATTCTGGGAGTTGTAGGCCAAAACACCTGGGGACTCACAGGTTGAGAACCACTGACGTAGGAAGTCCTACAGAAGTGTTCATTTTAGATATCTTTTTGGTCCTCCTGTCTGAACCTATGGCCAACGTCATATATGGAGGTCCTAGGAAGTCCTACAGTAGTGTTCATTTTAGAAATCTTTTTGGTCCTCCTGTCTGAACTTATGTCCAATATCATCTATGGAGGACCTAGGAAGTGCTACAGAAATGATCATTCTAGAAATCTCTTTGGTCCTTCTGTAGAAACCTATGGCCAGTGTCATTTATGGAGGACCTGGGAAGTCCTACAGAAGTGTTCATTTTAGAAATCTCCTGGGTCTTCCTGTCTGAACCTATGGCCAATGTCATCTATGGAGGATCTAGGAAGTCCTACAGAAGTGTTCATTCTAGAAATCTCTTCGGTCCTCCTGGCTGAACCTATGGCCAACGCCATCTATGGAGGACCTAGGAAGTCCTACAGAATTGTTCATTCTGGAAATCTCTTTGGTCCTCCTGTCTGAACGTATGTCTAATGTCATCTATGGAGGACCTAGGATGTCCTACAGAAATGTTCATTCTAGAAATCTCTTTGGTCCTCCTGTCCGGTCCTCCTATGACTAATGTCATCTATGGAGTACCTAGGAAGTCCTACAGAAGTGTTCATTCTGGGAATCTCTTCAGTCCTCCTGTCTGAACCTATGGCCAATGTCATCTATGGAGGACCTAGGAAGTCCTACAGAAGCGTTCTTAATATTTTAACCAAATCTGTGAACAAACAAATCCAGAAAAGTTCACAAATGTGGAGAGCAAGTTGTACGTGAACGTTGCTTCATGCACAAAACTATTTCGATGACCTTCAGGCTATGTCTGCGAGGTATTGATGAAACATTGGTTAATTATGTGTTTAGTCTGGAGTCTCGTCTCAAAATATATCATTATGTACATGTATACTTATTCCTGATTTCCGATTCCCAAGGAAGTTGCTGGTATTCTGCATCCCAGTTGGTTAGCTTGACCCTCACTGGTACCTTTGTGTGTTTTCCAGATGTTCAAATATGTCTCCCATCCCTTCCATCTTCGCAGGGTCAACACCGTCCGGAAAAACCTGGACGAGTTGGATAAACTGGCACGGATCAGCCTTCAACGTGTGTATGGCTTCAATCTTTCGGATAAATTCCTGGAAGACGATGCCGATGTTGACATAGAGGGCAAGTTGCATGAAGATCCCAGTACCGGCAACAGCTCTGGATTTCAACTGGATTATAGCATCACTCTGTTGCCGACAGATGACAATTTGAGCTTCCGACTGGTGAGTTGAATAGGAATCAGTCTTTTTTAAATACTAGCTTAGGGACCTGGTGGTGCCCGGGTTATTTGAGAAAGGCATTGCCTGTCTGTGCTCCAAATTTAGTCTAGATCCAATATCAGCTGGTTCAGTGGGCGTAGGTGAACTACAACTCCCATATGCAAGTCCCATTGTCAATGGTCCATGGTCCTCTAAACCGCATCAGGATATAGAGTTGGTTGTGGGAGCTCTGTATGCCAAGTTTGGTCTTGATCAGTCATTGGTTTGGGTCACAGTGGTGTCTGAAAGTGAGTAAAGGTACTGAAAGTCCCATTATCCATGGTCCATCATCCCACAAACTGCACCAGGATGTAGAGTGGGTCATGGGGGTTCTGTGTCCCAAGTTTGATCTTGATCAGTCACTGGTATGGGTCGCAGTGCAGTCAAGTAGTGAGTGAAGATACTGCAAATCCCATTGTCCATGGTTCATCCTCCTCCAAACCACACCAGGATGTAGAGTGGGCCATGGGGGAGGGATCTGTGTGGCAAGTTTGGTCCAGGTCTGTGATTTGTGGGGCCCACAGTGTTCTGTGGGAAGTGAATCCTCTGTGGTCCATCCTCCGCCAAACTCAACCAGGGCATGAGGTGGTTCATGGGGGGATTGTGTGCCAAGTTTGGTCATGATCCGTTATTGGTGGGGGTTGCAGTGGTCTCAGGAAGTGAGTGAAGGTACTGCAAATCCCATCATTCATGGTCCATTCTCCCCCCCCCCAAAACACACCAGGATGAAGTGGATCTTGGGGTCTCTGTTTGCCAAGTTTGGTCATGATCCATCATTGGTGAGGGTCGCAGTGGTCTCAGGAAGTGAGTGAAGGTACTGCAAATCCCATCATCCATGGTCCATCCTCCTCCAAACCACACCAGGATGTGAAGTGGATCTTGAGGTCTCTGTTTGCCAAGTTTGGTCGTGATCCGTCATTGGTGAGGGTCGCAGTGGTCTCAGGAAATGAGTGAAGGTACTGCAAATCCCATCATCCGTGGTCCATCCTCCCCCTAATTGCACCAGAATGTAAAGTGGGTGACGGGGGCTCTGTGTGCCAAGCTTGATCACAATCCGCCATTGGTGGGGGTCGCAGTGGTCTGTGGGAGCCAAAGCGATTGAAAGTACTGTAAATCCCATCATCCATGGTCCATCCTCCCCTAAACCACACCAGGATGTAAAGTGGGGGTTCTGTGGTCCAGGTCATCTCCAGACAATATGCCCACTGCCCCAATTTTGAGGACTTGTGGTACCAACATGGACAGTCTTTGGAGCCTACCTCCCAGAAGTCAGAACCATAATGTGAACTGGTGAAGGACAATGGGCAATGTCATCCAGAGATTGTCCCCAGGCAAAGCTTTCACTGGTCCAACTCCAGTGAAACTTCAAAAAAGAAAACAAAACGCCCATATATGGGGAAAAAGGCATTTACTTGTCCTAAACATGACTCAATCCATCCTGTGGCACCTCTCCCACTATAATTCATGCCTCTCCCACAGTAGCCTCAGCTCAACTGCTCTCTTGTGTTGTGGTTTGAAGAACTGCGGTCATGGCAATCGAAGACAGGGCAAAACCGCTTGGGAAAGGTATTAAGAAATGCCCCAATCACATTAATGATGGCGTATTTTGTCCCATTTGCAGAAACCCTCATCGCTTCTGAGAGCGTGATGGAATTGCCTTGGTCGGATTTTATTAAATTGCTGTGGCTGCCCAAAGATGTATAGTGTTCCCTCACTTATCGCGGGTGTTATGTTCCAGAACCACCCACGAAAAGTGAACATCCACGAAGTAGGGATGCTCTCTGTATATATACAGTGTTCCCTCACTTATCAGGGGTGTTACAACCGCCTGTGAAAAGTAAAAATCTGTGAAGTAGGGATGCTATATATACACGCTGTGTGTGTGTGTGTGTGTGTGTGTGTGTGTAGTGTTCCCTCACTTATCACAGGTGTTATGTTCCAGGACCACCCACGAAAAGTGAAAATCCACAAAGTAGGGATAGTAGGGGTGCTATATATGTGTGTATGTATATGTATATATATATAAACACACACACACATACATATATATATATATATACACACATACACACACGCGCGCACACAGTGTTCCCTCATTTACCGCAGGTGTTAGTTTCCAGGACCACCCATGAAAAGTGAAAATCCACGAAGTAGGTATAGTAGGGATGCTATGTACATACATACATACATACACACACACATACACATATATATACACACATACACACGCACGCACACACACAGTGTTTTCTCATTTATGGCAGGTGTTATGTTCCAGGACCACCTGTGAAAAGTGAAAATCCACAAAGTAGGGATAGTAGGGATGCTATATACATACATACGTATATAGCATCCCTACTATATACATACTGCATCTATGGCAAGCATCCTCAGAGGTAGTGAGGTCTGTTGTAACTAGGAAAATGGGTTTATATATCTGTGGAATGACCAGGGTGGGACAAAGAACTCTTGACTGCTGGAGCTAGGTGTGAATGTTTCAACTGACCACCTTGATTAGCATTTGATGGCCTGGCAGTGCCTGGGGCAATCTTTTGTTGAGGGTGGTTAGATGTGCCTGATTGTTTCCTCTCTGTTATTTTGCTGTAGTAATTTTAGAGTTTTTTTTAAAAAAAAATACTGGTAGCCAGTATTTAAAAACTCTGAAACATTCACACCTAGCTCCAACAGACAAGAGTTCTTTGTCCCACCCTGGTCATCTCTTGTCCCATCTCTGCTTTGCTTTGCCATCTCTCTTGATTGGCTGCCTCCCTCCCGAGGGGGAGGGTGAAACCCCCTTCCACACTCCATTATGGCCAGGAGGCAGGATTAGAACACTGCTCTGGGCAACGGTGACCATTCATAAACTGGGAGGCAAAAACCCGCAAAATAGCGAATCCGCGAAAAGCGAACCGCGAAGTAGCGAGGGAACACTGTATTTGCTTGACGGATGACAAAATGTTAAGTGAGTCGAATACGATAGTAGCCCGATATATGAAACCAGTAGAAGGGATTGCGAAATACAAAAAAATAATAATTAAAACACAAATCAGTGAGTTATTAAAAATGCTCCTCGTTCAAAAATCTTGGGCAAACGACATGGTCACAGCTGAACCGATCTTCACAGATTCACTTCTCTTGGCCAGCTTTTCTATATCTAAGATACATTCAATTACTGAAATTCCCATCGTCCCCAGTTGAGTCCCTTGTCAACCCATTCCTCATCTCGTTTTCTTCCTTCCTTTAGTGTAACGCAACGGGTGGAGACTGCTTCAGGATGACCTACAGCTCCGGAGTGGACGCGGTCAAGGAGTGGTACCGTTTCCACTACATGAACATCATGTCTGAGGTCCCCCACATTACTAATGTTCCCCATAACGAGGACAGCATTGAAGACTTGGTCTACGCTTGCCAGTATGAGGAAAGACCCTGCAAAGGCAGGTAAATGACTAACTCGTGGATGCTGAATCCGCGGATACGGAGGGCTTGTTGTCTCTTGGAAAGTCATACAACTCTATGTAATGTTTTTATAATGGTTGAAGAATTGGACACAACAAACCTATCATTCTGAGGATGCATAGATCAGCATTTCTCAACCTGGGGGTCGGGACCCCTTGGGTTGTCGTGAGGGGGGTGTCAGACCATTTTCACAGTATTTTCTGTTGGTCATGGGGGTTCTGTGTGGAAAGTTGGCTGGCCTCTCAGCCAAGGAGAAGGCTGTTTCTGAGTTTCCAAACAGGAAGGGGAGAGCAGGCGTGCTCGGCACATGGCAGCGTGCTGCGCATGTGTAGACGAGGAAGAGCGTGCAAGGCTGGAAGGAGGCTCATGCCAGTGTGTCCCTTCAAGGCATAGCCCTCCTCTGCTGTGATTGGCTGGCCTCTCAGCAAAGGGGAGGGCTGTTTCTGATACTCCAAGCGGGGAGGGGAGAGCAGGCGTGCTCAGTGAAAGTCAGGCGAGGGAGAGCATGCAAGGCTGGAGTGAGGCTCATGTCAGCGTGTCCCTTCAAGGCATAGCCCTCCTCTGCTGTGATTGGCTGGCCTCTCAGCCAAGCGGAGGGCTGTTTCTGAGACTCCAAGCTGGGAGGGGAGAGCAGGCATGCTCGGTGAATGTCAGGTGAGGGAGAACATGCATGGCTGGAGTGAGGCTCATGCCAGTGTGTCCCTTCAAGGCACAGCCCTCCTCTGCTGTGATTGGCTGTCCTCTCAGCCAAGGGGAGGGCTGTTTTTGATACTCCAAGAGGGGAGGGAAGAGCAGGCGTGCTCAGTGAATGTCAGGCAAGGGAGAGCATGCAAGGCTGAAGGTCATGCCAGTGTGTCCCTTCAAGGCATAGCCCTCCTCCGCTGTGATTGGCTGGCCTCTCAGCAAAGGAGAGGGCTGTTTCTGAGACTCCAAGCAGGGAGGGAAGAGCAGGCGTGCTCGGTGAATGTCAGGCGAGGGAGAGCATGCAAGGCTGGAATGAGGCTCATGCCAGCGTATCCCTTCAAGGCATAGCCTTCCTCTGCTGTGATTGGCTGGCCTCTCAGCAAAGGGGAGGGCTGTTTCTGATACTCCAAGTGAGGAGGGGAGAGCAGGCGTGCTTGGCGCATAGCAGCGTGATGGACATGTACAGGCGAGGGAGAGCGTGTGAGGCTGGAGGAAGACTAGCAGCAGTGAGTCCCTTCAAGGCATGGGGGTTCTGTGTTGGCTCAATTCCAGCATTGTTGTGGTTCAGAATGCTCTTTGATTATAGATGAAGTATAAATCCCAGCAACTACAACTCCCAGATGTCAATGTCTATTTTCCCCAAACTCCATCAGTGTTCACCTTTGGGCATATTGAGTATCTGTGCCAAGTTTGGTCCAGATCCATCATTGTTAGAGTCCACAGTGCTCTCTGGATGTGGGTGAACTACAACTCCCAAACTCAATGTCAATGCCCACCGAACCCTTCCAGTATTTCCTATTGATCATGGGAGTTCTGTGTGCCACGTTGGATTCAATTCCATCGTTGGTGGAGCTCAGAATGCTCTTTGATTGTAGATGAACTATAAATCCCAGCAACCACAACTCCCAAATGTCAAGGTCTATTTCCCCCAAACTCCACCAGTATTCGCATTTGGGTACATTGAGTATCCGTGCCAGGTTTGGTCCAGATCCATCATTGTATGAGTCCACAGTGCTCTCTGGATGTGGGTGAACTACAACTCCCAAACTCAACGTCAATGCCCACCGAACCCTTCCAGTATTTCCTATTGATCATGGGAGTTCTGTGTGCCACGTTGGATTCAATTCCATCGTTGGTGGAGCTCAGAATGCTCTTTGATTGTAGATGAACTATAAATCCCAGCAACCACAACTCCCAAATGTCAAGGTCTATTTCCCCCAAACTCCATCAGTATTCACATTTGCGGATATTGAGTATTCGTGCCAATATGAACTACAACTCCAAAACTACAACTCCAAAACTCAAGGTCAATGCCCACCAAACTCAGGCTGTTAGGAATTGTGGGAGTTGAAGTCCAAAACATCTGGAGGGTTGAAGTTCTTCCATGCTGCTTTGAGATAGATGTAGCAGGGAATAGCAATAACAATAATAACAACAACAGACTCCAATATAAGTTGTTTGGGAAGGCAAGACTAAGGGTGTGTTTGAACCCTACTCGAACTGCCTTGGCTCAATGCGATGCAATCCTAGGAGTTGTAGTCTTACAAGGTCAGAGGGCCCAGCATCCACTGGCTCTCACATTCATTCCTGCTCCTTCTCTTTGCCAGCAGCTCTGGGACAAAGCTCCTGGGCAAATGTCACCGGGGAGAAGTTATTTAACTAGGCGCAGACAGGTTTGCACTGGTTTTATCAGATTGTCCTCGCCCGCTCGCTGCCGTCGAAGGGAAAGGCAAGCCAGCACGGACTGGGTGGTACTGGGAATGGCTTCAACCTGCTCTTTACCTTGGCAAGGTCTGGAGCAATCCCAGGAATGGCCTCAAATTATCCCAAAAGAGGAGGAAAGAAGGCCAACGCCCTGTTGCGGAGATGAAGAAACTGCCTCTGCTCATGACAGGTGGAAATGTCATCTATATGCATGTAGAGTACATACGTTGACCCATTGACTCCCAGTCTTTTGGAGTCCATTTTGGGTCTATAGTGTTTCTCAACATGGGGGTTGGGAACCCTGGGGGGTCACGAGGGGTCACAGAACCCCCATGCCTTGAAGGCACCCTCTGGCGTGAACCTCCCTCCAGCCTCACATGCTCTCCCTCACCCACACATGCACTCGACGCATGCCTGCTCTCCCCTCCCCACTTGGAGTCTCAGGAACAGCCCTCCCCATATTTCTGATGGTCTTAGGAATCCCTTTGGCAGAGAAGGCTGACGATCTCTCCGCCTGTCCTGCTCTTCCTTTTTGGAAACACTCCCACCAAAAGCCCCCCTCTACTGTGATTGGCTGGCCTCTCAGCCAAGGGGAGGGCTGTTCCTGAGACTCCAAGTGGGGAGGGGGGAGCAGGCATGCGTCGAGTGCGTGTGCGGGTGAGGGAGAGCAAGTGAGGCTGGAGGGAGGTTCATGCCAGTGGGTGCCTTCAAGGCATGGGGGTTCTGTGTGGGAAGTTTTGTCCAATTCTATCATTGGTGGAGTTCAGAATTCACATGTGCGGGCGAGGGAGAGCGTGTGAGGCTGGAGGGAGGCTCGCACCAGTGGGCATGGGGGTTCTCAATGGAAAGTTTGACCAGATCCATCATTGTTTGAGTCCACAGTGCTCTCTGGATATAGGGAGCAAGCAGGGAGGGGAGAGCAGGTGTGCTCTACGGATGGCAGCGTGGTGCGCATGTGTGGGCGAGGGAGAGCATGTGAGGCTGGAGGGAGGTTCACACCAGCGGGTGCCTTCAAGGAATGGGGGTTCTGTGTGGGAAGTTTGGTCCAATTCTATCATTAGTGGGGTTCAGAATGCATATGTGTGGGTGAGAAAGAGCGTGTGAGGCTGGAGGGAGGCTCGCACCAGCGAGCATGGGGGTTCTGCATGGGAAGTTTAGCCAGAACCATCATTGTTTGAGTCCACAGTGCTCTCTGGAGGTAGGGAGCAAGCAGGAAGGGGCGAGCAGGCGTGCTCAGCACATGGCAGAGTGGTGACAAGGGAGAGCGTACAAGGCTGGAGGGAGGTTCACACCAGCGAGTCTCTTCATTGAATGGGGGTTCTGTGTGGGAAGTTTGGCCCTATTCCATCATTGATAGGGTTCAGAATTTTCTTTGATTATAGGTGAACTATAAATCCCAGCAACTACAACTCCCAAATGTCAAGGTCTATTTTCCCCAAACTCCACCAGTGTCCATATTTGGGCATATTGAGTATTCATGCCAAGTTTGGTCCTGATCCATCATTGTTTGAGTCCATAGTGCTCTCTGGATGTAAGTGAACTACAACTCCAAAACTCAATACCCACCAAACTCTCCCAGTATTTTCTGTTGGTCGTGGGAGTTCTGTGTGCCAAGTTGGGTTCAATCCCATCATTGGTGGAGTTCAGAATGCCCTTTGATTGTACGCTAACTCTAAATCCCAGCAACTACAACTCCCAAATGAAACATCAACATCAATTTGGGCATATCGGGTATCTGTGCCAAGTTTGGTCCAGTGAATGAAAATACATCCTGCATATCAGGTATTTACATTACGATTCATAACAGGACTATTAGGAAGGTTGTGTACCACTGGTCTATAGAGTGATACATGAGTATGTACGTTAAGTGTGGATTTTAGGTCAAGGTGAGCAAGAACAGTTGGGAAACCCTAAGACTGAAGTTGGGAAACCCGAAGTCTGCCCTTTGGAAAGCAATCCAACAAAATCACAACCTGGGAATTAGGAAATCTCCACTGTCTTGTTTTCCTTTGTTTCCTAACTTCCATCTATTCATACTGAGACTTCTGCCAGAAACTATCCTCGATTATAGTGTTTCTCAACCTTCCGAATGCCGCGATCCTTTAATCCAGTTCCTCATGCTGTGCTGACCCCCAACCATAACATTATTTTCGTTGCTACTTCACAACTGTGATTTTGCTACTGTTATGAATTGTAATGTAAATATCTGATATCCCTGCGTTAGGCTCTTCCCAGCACCCAGAAACTGGTTTCGCTTTCCTTGACTGCCCCTCGCCCTTATCTCTCAAAGCCTTGCAGAACGGCGAAGGCCTTGGCTGAGCTGTCTGTTTGGGCTAATTTCAAGTCGTTTGTCTATTTGCTCATTATCTATCTGCTCATTAGTTTCTCCAGGTGCCAAATTCTTTTCAACCCCCAAATTCTGGGAACCCTCTGGGTCAGGGAGTAAACTATCATCCCTATACCCTGTAGGAACATTCTCATGGGAAACTACACTTTGAACCGGTGTCCCTATGTCATTCTCTGCATTGATATCATTGATCAGACCATTGCCATCTTGACCCTTCGTGACATCATTCCCCACATGTAAAGCACCTTGATCATCTTGAATCACAATCACAGGCTTAACTCCAACACCTCTCTCCTTCCCTCTGTGATTTCCACGCTCCTCTTCCACATCCGGGGACTTCCGTCCGGGCCTCTCTAGCCCTGAAGCATTGCCTTGCTTTAACTCTTTGAGTCCGTATTGTTAGTATTCTAGGTGTCTAGCACTGCGTCGGATGGGTAACAGTAGGAGACTTCATATTATCCGTCCATTTATGTCGGATACGCGAGACTCTACTGTATTGCATTTTGCTGTTGTTCATTTGTTCAGTTGTTTCTGACTTCGTGACTTCATGGACCAGCCCACGCCAGAGCTCCCTGTTGGTCGTTACCACCCCCAGCTCCTTCAAGGTCAATCACAATCACAGGCTTAACTCCAACGCCTCCCTCCTTCCCTCTGTGATTTCCACGCTCCTCTTCCACATCTGGGGACTTCCGTCCAGGCCTCTCTAACCCCGGGGCATTGCCTTGCTTTAACTCTTTGAGTCCATATTGTTAGTATTCTAGGTGTCTAGCAGCGCGTTGGAGGGGTAACAGTAGGAGACTCCATATTATCCGTCATTTTCATTTATCCAACGTTCTGCCCATCCGTTTATGTTGGATACGCAAGACTCTACTGTATTGCATTGGGTGACTTTTAATCTCAATCGCTCTCCGCCATCCTACCAACCAGCCTTATCTTGTCCGCACAGTACATGTTGTGACTGTACCAGTTGTTCTCGTGGTCTAGCCACAATGGGCACCGCCAAACTCTGCCCAGGTCCCCTGTTAAAAGAAGGAGCAACGGATCTGACCGCAAAGGTCCATCCAAATGTTTGCCCAATTTTAAAAAAGAAACACCGAGTAAACATTTGCTTTGAGCCTTATCAGGACAAATCCAACTCTTTTGAAATTCTCAGCAATCTCCATAGGCGGGGTTCGGCGAATTGTTCTCGTTCCGAATCTAGATGGCACCGAATCTAACTGGCGCTCGTTGCCAGCATATGTTATGTAATCTGAAAACACATTTGTCCCTGGTTTATGGTACTTAGAATTTAATGGGTTTGTTTTATTTCTGTCCATCTTGGTTTCCAAAAATAAGATAAGAGCCAACCTTAGAATGCAGCACATAGGTGTTGAAATTCAAGCCACTTTCAGTCTGTGTTAAGAGATTAAAAGCGGTGTAATAATAACAATAATAATAATAGAGTTGCTGTGAGTTTTCCAGGCTGTATGGCCATGTTCCAGAAGCATTTTCTCCTGACATTTTGCCCACATCTATGGTAGGCATCCTCAGAGGTTGTGAGGTCCGTTGGAAACTAGGCAAGTGGGGTTTATATACTGGTGGAATAATGTCCAGAGTGGGAGAAAGAACTCTTGTCTGCTTGAGGCAAGTGTGAATGTTGCAATTGCCTGCCTTGATTAGTATTGAATGACCTTTCAGCCTCAAAGCATGACTGCTCCCTGCCTAGGGGAATCCTTTGTTGGGAGGTGTTCGCTAGCCGTAATTGTTTTCTGTCTGGAATTCGCCAGACAGTGAGGTATATATATCTGTGGAATGATTTCCAGGGTGGGAGAAAGAAGTCTTGTCTGCTTGAAGCAAGTGTGAATGTTGCCATTGGCCACCTTGATGAGCTTTGCCTTGCGTGGCTGCTCCCAGCCTAGGGGGATCCTTTGTTGGGAGGTGTTAGCTGGCCCTGATTGTTTCCAGGGTGGAAGAAAGAACTCGTGTCTGCCTGAGGCAAGTGTGAATGTTGCCATTGGCCAACTTGATGAGCACTGAATGGCCTTTCAGCTTCAAAGCGTGGCTGCTCCCTGCCTAGGGGAATCCTTTGTTGGGAGGTGTTAGCTGGCCCTGATTGTTTCCAGGGTGGAAGAAAGAACTCTTGTCTGCCTGAGGCAAGTGTGAATTTTGCCATTGACCACTCTGATTCGCACTGAATGGCCTTTCAGCTTCAAAGCGTGGCTACTCCCTGCCGAGGGGAATCCTTTGTTGGGAGGTGTTAGCTGGCCCTGATTGATTCCTGTCTGGAATTCCACAGCTTTTTGAGTGTTGCTCGTTGTTTACTGTCCTGATTTTAGAGTCCCAAGTTGTTGCTTTGCCTTAACCCTTTGAGTCCCTGTTGTTAGTATTCTAAGTGTCTAGCACGTCAGACAGAGACTCCGTATTATCCGACATTTTCGTTCATCTGACATTCTGCCGGCCCGATTATGTCGGATAAGCGAGATTCTACTATATTAGTAATACTAATAATAGAATGTTATGAGTAGGCGAGGACGTGTTTTTCACACAAACCAATGTCAGGGTTCCCGCCGTAATAATAATAATAATAATAATAATAATAATAATAATAATAATAATACATCACACAGTCCTAGGCGCTTGGGAAGTGTTCGACTTGTGATTTTGTGATACGAAATCCAGCATATAGATCTCATTTGCTGTGACATACTGTATTTTTGTGTCAGCAAAATAATAATAATAATAATAATAATAATAATAATAATAATATCATTCTGAGACTCTGAGATCTTATCCAGAATTCCAAAATCTCTCACTTGAGTGAATGAGATACCAACAACTTTGCTTTTTGGATAATTCAATGTATACAAACTTTGTTTTAAAGGATTCAACATTAATTTTGAGTTTTGACTTGAGTTGCAGTTCTAAGATAACTCATTACGGACCTCAACATTGGCTTGGCAATTTGACGATGGGTGCTCTCTCATACTCTTTAATTAACTTGGGGATTTTTAAAAGAAATGGTGACACTTCCTTGATGACTTGGGACAGCAACAGCTGGAAATCCCCGGGAATCGGCTGGATCTCATGGGATGATAGTCCCAAGGATCCTAGAGATAAGGATGTGATGAGACACAAGGAAGAGAAAGACTCCAATGCTGGGAGGAAGGGAGATGAATTACTACTTCCATTGTGCAAATCTGTTGTTTCCCAAAGATACTGAATAAGATGAACTTGAAATAGCAAACTGGAAGTCAAATAGGACTATAGTTGCAAGTCAAATCAAACCAGAAGATATTGAGATATTGAGAACATGACTATCAGGATAGTGAGAAGGATTGGGGGTTATAACTTCTTCTGTCTTTTCCTTCCTTCATTTCTGATTTTCTATTTTTCTATTTATTTATTTTTTAGTGTTACTGATCACTTCCACCATCCTATCTATGGAAGCTGCTACACTTTTAACTACAATGGGACGGACGTCTTCTGGAAAGCTTACAAGCCTGGAATTGTCTATGGTAAGCCCAGGAGAATGAATGCAGAAAAAGAATACATACATATACTATAGACCAGTGTTTCTCAACCTGGGGGTCTCAACCCCTGGGAGAGTTGTGAGTGGGGTTTCAGAGCAGTCACCAAAGACCATCAGAAAAAACACATATTTCTGATGGTCTTAGGAAGCCCTTTGGCAGAGAAACACTGACCTAGAGCTTCTGAGAGCTTCTGTTCAACTATTTCAAAGTTCCCTGCTTGAGTGGTGATGGCATGATCGTCAGCATAGATGAAACTCTGTCCCTTCTTGCATTGGATGATCATTTGTAGGGGTCACCACAACATGAGGAACTGTATTAAGGGGTCACGGCATTAGGAAGGTTGAGAAACACTGGTTTAGGGGTTTAGCTGTATTGTCCTGCTGTTTCCTCTCAATGCTGATTTGAAAATGTGTCCCTTTTCCCTCCGTTCTGACCCCTGCTTTTCAACGCCAGGTCTGTCCCTTATCCTCAAAGTCCAACAGAAGGACCACATCCCTTTTCTGTCCACTGGCACGGGCGTCAAAGTGATGATCCACAACCACAACCAGACGCCGTTCCTGGAGCACGAAGGGTTTGATATCCGGCCCGGGATCGAAAGCATCATAGGCATCAAGCAGGTACGCACAAATGTAAATGCGGATGTAAACGTAACTTTTGGGGACCGGAATAATATCGGCGAGAAAGGATGCAGCAGGGATCACAATTTCAGAGTGATTTGATTCGTTAGGAATTATTTAAGATGCTCTTTTTCTCTCCCCGACTTCATAGGACGAGGTGAATCGCTTGGGTGGGCTTTACGGCGAATGTACTGAAAGCGGAGAGGACGTGAACGTCAACATAATCTACAACAGCACCTATACAATGCAGGTAGGACTTCTCTCTCCTCTCTTCTCTCACCCCACTAAGTCCACTGAATTTGGATTTGTGGTGATCGAAGTCAGTGAAGGAAAAGTGGGGAAGCGGGAGAAGAAAAGTGAAACAGAGATATTATAAAGCCAGCTCTCACAGAGCCTCTTCTCACACTGGTTACACAGGAGCTTCACACAGTAGCTTTACACACAGCAGCCTTCACACTGGAGCTTCACAAACAATGGCCTTCAACCTAGGGCTTCTCTCACTGACGAGTCTCACGCTGAGGCCTTACTCCCACTGAGGCCTTCTCACACTGAGGGCTCTGTCACACTGACGCCTCTCTCACACTGAGGCAAACTAACACTGAAGCAAACTAACAGTGAGGCCTACTCATACTGAAGCCTACTAACACTTCACAGGACGAGGTGAATCACTTGGGTGGGCTTTACGGCAAATGTACCAAAACAGAGAAGATGTGAACATCAAAATACTACAATAGCACCTATACAATGCAGGTAGGACTTCTCTCTCCTCTCTTCTCTCACCCCACTAAGTCCACTGAATTTGGATTTGTGGTGATCGAAGTCAGTGAAGGAAAAGTGGGGAAGCGGGAGAAGAAAAGTGAAACAGAGATATTATAAAGCCAGCTCTCACAGAGCCTCTTCTCACACTGGTTACACAGGAGCATCACACAGTAGCTTTACACACAGCAGCCTTCACACTGAAGTTTCACACACAATGGCCTTCAACTTGGGCCTTCTCTCACCAAAGATTCTCACACTGAGGCCTTACTCCCACTGAGGCCTTCTCACACTGAGAGCTCTCTCAGACTGACACCTCTCTCACACTGAGGCAAACTAAAACCGAGCAACGTATCTCTCCTTACAGAGCAAAAGAGAGGTCAGTCTGAGAGAGCCCTCAGTGTGAGAAGGCCTCAGTGGGAGTAAGGCCTCAGTGGGAGAATCTCTCCTTCTATCCATTATCAGATGGAAGGAGAGAGAGTCCCTTTAGCACAGCAAACTCTCTCTCCTTCCATCTCATAATGTTAGGAAGAGTGAAGGGCAGGGTTGGGCGTCTCTAATGAGTGACACTTTTCTGTATTTCCTTCCCACAGGCCTGTTTGCATTCCTGCTTTCAGCACGAAATGATTGAAAAGTGTGGCTGTGGATATTACTACTACCCACTGCCCTCTGGGGCCGAATACTGCAATTATAACAAGCATCCTGGTTGGGGTAAGCTTGCTAGAAGAAACTAGAGCTAAAGTGGTCTATTGGAGGTCCTCGAACAGAAACCGGATGTGTTTGAAGGACCTCCTTCTGATGCAGGTCCTTGAACAGAAGTAGGAAGTGCTTGAAGGACCTCCTTCTATTGGATGTCCTCAAATAGAAGCTGGATGTGCTTAAAGGACCTCCTTCTATTGGAGGTCCTCAAACAGTCTGGATATGCTTGAAGGACCTCCTTCTGTTGGAGGTCCTTGAACAGAAGCTGGGTGTTCATGAAGGACCTCCTTCTATTGGAGGTCCTCGAACAGAAGTTGGATGTGCTTGAAGGACCTCCTTCTATTGGAGGTCCTTAACGAGAAGCTGGGTGTGCTTGAAGGACCTCCTTCTATTGGAGGTCCTTAACGAGAAGCTGGGTGTGCTTGAAGGACCTCCTTGTATTGGAGGTCCTTGACGAGAAGCCAGATGTGCTTGAGGGATATCCTTCTATTTGAGGTCCTTGAAAAGAAGCTGGATGTGCTTGAAGGACCTCCTTCTGTTGGAGGTCCTCAAACAGAAGCTGGATGTGCTTGAAGCACCTCCTTCTATTGGAGGTCCTTGAAGAGAAGCTGGATGTGCCTGAAGGACCTCATTCTATTGGAGGTCCTCAAGACATTAGTTCAGGGCTTTCAACCATCCTTTCCCCGTTCTTCCTATTGACCTTCTCCTTTCTTTCCTCCTAGGTCACTGCTTCTATCCACTTTACAAACAACTGTTGAACCACAATCTCAGTTGCTTCAACAAATGCCCCAAACCATGCAAGTGAGTAGCCAAAGCATGTTGCGGTTGTCCTTCACTAAGCTCAGAGGTCAATATTGTCATTGGCTCTCCCCCTAAGATGATTTATTTGATGTGATTTATTTGATACGAATCCTCCCTATCAATTAATAACATACCCAAACACAAGTGCCAGACCATATATCATTTAAGAGAAGGAAAATGGAACAAGCTGACCCCACCCTGTAACGATAAAACAAACACACACACAATACACACCCAGTTAGATGTTTCAGTCCTTCACAAAAAACCTATATTCCCAGTGTACATTTGAATGGAATGGATATATAGTAATAGAGGGCGTCATTAATTCCTGGTTTGTCTTCTCAACAGGGAGTCGTCGTACAAACTTACAGCAGGATACGCGAAATGGCCGTCAACTCCATCAGAGGTAAGGTAGAACCTTTTAATTTATAAAAGCAATAAATTATCATCCCATGGGTTGGCTGAGAGATGGTTAAAGGGAGAGAAAATGATGTGAAACCAAAGCTTGGAAAGATTCACGTTTTTGTCTCTGTCCTATCAAATGAAGTCAATCATCCTAGAAAGGGAGAGAAAATGATGTGAAACCAAAGCTTGGAAAGATTCTCATATGTACTTCACTGTCCACCCAGCTTCTGTTTGAAGACCTTCAAAGAAGGATGGCCATTCAAGCTTTCTGGCTTCTGCTTGAGGACCTTCTGTTGGAGGTCTTCAAACAGAAGCTGGATGTCTTGAAGGACCTCCTTCTATTAGAAGCCCTCAAACAGAAGTAGGATGTCCTTGATGGATCTCCTTCTATTGAAGGTCCTCAAAGAGAAGCTGGATGTTGTTGAAGGACCTCTTTCTATTGGAGGTCCTCAGACAGAAGCTGGATGGGCTTGAAGGACCTCCTTTTATTAGAGGTCCTCAAACAAAAGTTGGAGGTGCTTGACGGATCTCCCTCTATTGAAAGTCATCAAACAGAAGCTGGATGTGCTTGAAGGATCTCCTTCTATTGGAGGTCCTTGGACAGAAGCTGAATGGGCTTGAAGGACCTCCTTCTATTGGAGATCCTTGGAGGACCTCTTTCTATTGAAGGTCCTCAAACAGGATGTGCATGAAGGACTTCCTTTTACTGGAGGTCCTCAAACAAAAGCTGGATGTGATTGACGGACCTCCTTCTATTGAAGGTACTCAAACAGGATGTGCATGAAGGACCTCCTTTTACTGGAGGTCCTCAAACAAAAGCTGGATGTGATTGACGGACCTTCTTCTATTGAAGGTTCTTAAACAGGATGTGCTTGAAGGACCTCCTTCTATTGGAGGTCCTCAAACAGAAGCTGGATGTGCTTGAAGGAACTCCTTCTATTGGAGGTCCTAGCTTCTGCTTGAAGACCTTCAAAGAAGGGTGGCCATTCTGTTTGAAGGCCTTCTGTTAAAGGCCTTCAAACAGAAGCTGGATGAACTTGAAGGCCTCCTTCTATTGGAGGTCTTTAAACAGAAGCTGGATGTGCTTGAAGGAAATCCTTGTACTGGAGGTCCTCAAACAGAAGCTGAGTGTGCTTGAATGGCCATCCACATTCTGTTTGTGGACCTCCAAGAAGAATTTCAAATGATGTGATAGACATCTTGAAGTCTCTGAAAGGATGCCATGGAGAAAATGGAGCCAGCTTGTTTTCTAGTGCTCCAGACACTAGCATCTGTTTGAAGACTTTCAGAGAAGGATGGCCATTCAAGCATATCCAGCTTCTGCTTGAGGACCTGTTGGAGATCTTCAAACAGAAGCTGGATGTTCTTGAAAGACCTCCTTCTCTACTGGAGGTTCTCAAACAGAAGTTCGACGTTCTTGAAGGACCTCCTTCTACTAGAGGTCTTCAAACAGAAGCTGGTTGTGCTCGAAGGACCTCCTTCTACTGGAGGCCCTCAAACAGAAGCTGGACGTTCTTGAAGGACCTCCTTCTACCAGAGGTCTTCAAATAGAAGCTAGGTGTGCTTGAAGGACCTCCTTCTACTGGAGGCCCTCAAACAGAAGCTGGACGTCCTTGAAGGACCTACTTCTACTAGAGGTCTTCAAACAGAACCTGAGTGTGCTTGAAGGACCTCCTTCTATTGGAGGTCCTCAAACAGAAGCTGGACGTTCTTGAAGGACCTCCTTCTACTAGAGGTCTTTAAACAGAAGCTGAGTGTGCTTGAAGGACCTCCTTCTACTGGAGGTCCTCAAACAGAAGCTGGACGTTCTTGAAGGACCTCCTTCTACCAGAGGTCTTCAAATAGAAGCTGAGTGTGCTTGAAAGACCTCCTTCTACTGGAGGTCCTCAAACAGAAGCTGAGTGTGCTTGAATGGTCATCCAAATTCTGTTTGCGGACCTCCAAGAAGAACTGCAGATGTTATGATAGACATCTTGAAGTCTCTGAACGGATGTCATGGAGAAAATGGAGCCAGCTTGATTCCTGGTGCTCCAGAGACTAGAACATGAACCAATGGATTCAGATTATAAGAGGAAGAATCCACCTAAATGTTAGGAAGAACTTCTTGACCATAACAGATGTTCAAGAGTAGACTAGAACCCCTCAAACAGTTTTGGTGGACTCTCCTTTTATGGAGATGATAGGATGAGCATCTGTCCAAAGTGCTTTAGTTGTGTACTCCTACATAGAAGAGGGTTGGGCTGGTTGTCCCTCATGATTCCACAATCCCTTTCTCGAACTGAGGAGTGACAGTGTTGTTAGACACTAGCCTGATGCAGACACCCTCATTGCTAAACCCTTGACACTCGTGCCAACTTGCTCTGCACCCGTGTCTCACTCCCTGCTTCTGTATTTCAGGGATGGATCCACAAGACTTTGCAAGCACGGCACAGTTACAACAAAACTGGCCCCAGGTGAGTGTCAACCATTCCTTCCTTTGTTTTTGCCTTCCTGGTTTTACTCAACACTTCCCCAAAAGAGTCCGAAAAATTTAGCTTCGCCTCCCGACTTGTTTTGTCTCTCTTTCAGGAAAGATATCGCCAAGGTGAACGTTTTCTTTGAGAGGCTTGACTACAACTCGTGGGACGAGTCTCCTGAATATGATGTGAGTTGGAGCTTTTGTGAATTCTGTTACTGGGCAGTATTTGTGAAGGATACGTTCCTGGCCAGATTATTCTCTGGCTAGATTGGTTAAAAAAGTGTTTCTCAACCTGGGGGTCGCAGCCACCAGAGGGGTCACAAGGAGCTTTCAGAGAAGTCGCCAAAGACCATCCAAAAACATATATTCCTGATGGTCTCAGGAATCCCTTTAGCAGAGAAGGCTGACAATCTCTCCACCTGCCCTTCTCTTCCTTTTTGGACACAGAAGGCAAATCCTCCCACCAAAAGCCCTCCTCTGTTGTGATTGGACAGCCTCCCAACCAAGGGGAGGGCTGATTCTCAGCAGGGAGGGAAGAGCAGGCATGCTCGGTGCATGGCAGCATGGTGTGCATGTGTGGGCAAGGGAGAGTGCGCAAGGCTAGATGGGAATCCTCCCACCAAAAGCCCTCCTCCGTTGTGATTGGATGGCCTCCCAGAAAAGGGGAGGGCTGTTTCTTGGACTCCAAGCAGAGAGGGGAGAGCAGGCGTGCTCGGTGAATGGCAGCGTGGTGCGCATGTGCGGGCAAGGGAGAGTGTGCAAGGCTGGATGGGAATCCTCCCATCAAAAGCCCTCCTCCGTTGTGATTGGCTAGCCTCTCAGCCTAGGGGAGGGCTGTTTCTGATACTCTGAATGAGATGGGGAGAGCAGGCGTGCTCGGCACATGGCAGTGTGGTGCGCATGTGCGGGCAAGGGAGAGCGTGTGAGGCTGGAGGGAGGCTTCCACCAGCAAATCTCTTCAAAGCATAGAGGTTCTGTGTGGAAAGTTCGGCCCAATTCTATCGTTGTTGAGGTTCAGAATGCTCTTTGATTGTAGGTGAGCTATAAATCCTAGCAACTACAACTCCCAAATGTCAAGATCTATTTCCCCCAAACTCCCTCAGTGTTCACATTTGAGCATATTGAGTATTTGTGCCAAGTTAGGTCCAGATCTATCATTATTTGAGTTCATAGTACTCTCTAGATTTAGGTTTGAGTTCCTTCATTGATGGGGTTTAGAATGCTCTTCGATTGTAGGTGAACTATAAATCCCAGAAAATACAACTTCCAAATTTCAAGGTCTATTTTCGCCAAACTCCAGCAGTGTTTACATTTGAGCACATTGAGTATCCGAGCCAAGTTTGGTCCAGATCTATCATTGTTTGAGTCCATAGTGCTCTCTGGATATGGGTGAACTACAACTCCCAAACTCAAGCTCAATGCCCACCAAATACTTTCAGTATTTTCTGTTGATCATGGGAGTTCTGCATGCCAAGTTCTGTTGATCATGGGAGTTCAGAATGTTCTTTGATTGTAGGTTAACGATAAATCCCAGCAACTACAACTCCCAAATCACAAAATGAACACACACACTCCAACCCCACCAGTGTCCAAATTTGGGCATATCAGGTATTTGTGCCAAATTTGGTCCAGTGAATGAAAATACATCCTGTATATCAGATATTGATATGACAATTCATAATAGGAGCAAAATTAGTTATGAAGTAGCAACCATATGTGCAATTCACAGGAACCATAACAGAGAAATAATGTGATGGTTGGGGGTCACCACAACATGAGGAACTGTATTAAGGGGTTGCGGGATTAGGAAGGTTGAGAAACACTACTAAAACATTCTTTCAAAAGGCCCATCTAGAGGACCTAGAAGTTCCGAAGACATTGTTCTCTCAGGGAAACATCAACAGACTTTTTCAACGTTGTAACCATATGGTCCTCTCTTTGGTTTCTCAGATCAACCTGGTCATGTCCAACATGGGAAGCCAATGGAGCCTGTGGTTTGGGTCTTCCGTGCTGTCCGTGGTCGAGATGTTTGAGTTCCTTGTGGACGCGGCCATTTTGACGCTCCTTCTCTTCTACCGGCGCCTGACTGCCAAGAAATCGCACAAAATGCCTCACTCTCCGACTGTCCCGAGTGTGAGTTTGATGCTGGAGAAGTACCGCTACGTGGAGGAAGGTCTGGCCACGAACCAGCCTTCAGAGCAGACTTACAATGGTGAAGCCACCTTCTCCCAAGATGGTCTTCCTTCATATTCCAAATACGACAAGTACCAACTGCCCGAGCTGTACTCGAGTGTGGTGCTTCATAGATATGAACCTCAGCATGAGCATTGCATCGATTTCGGCTCCAAGAGCTAATGGGAGTAGCAAAGCATCTGAAGTCATGCCAGCTCTACCTTGACAACCTTGCAAGGTTCCTTCGGGTTCTGACCCTTGACATAGCAGATCCAGAACCACAAGACTGATCGGATCTGATATTTGACGGAGGAGTTGGAATCTGTGATTTTTCCCTTTTCCTCCATTGGCGCGGACTTGTCCTGGAGTAAACAAGATGGCGTCAAATGATCAAAGGTTGGGTTGTCGTTCCAACCCCGAGTTGACTTGAAGAGACCCAATGGATCTTATCCAGGTGGGAAGGATGTTGCATCCAAATTGGTTCCTGGACTGACTTGAAAACTCTTTGAGTATTACACTATGGGACAAAATATGAAAACAATTCTGTTCCTGGTTTGAAAGTGTTGTTTCCGGTTTAGTTGTGTGGTACCTACTTTGAAGGTAGTTGTTATGCACCAGAAACTACTGTATATACTTGAGTATAAGCCGAGTATTATAATAATTTCATATTCGCATTGCCTCCTGAAATGTTTGCAAATCCTCTCTCTCTGTATATATTTCCCTCTTGCAATATTTGCAAGCCCTATATATCTATGTTTATATCTATCTAGACATGTCAATCTCTATATATTAGTCAGTGCATTCCCCCCTGTAATATTTGCAAGCCCTATATATCTATATTCGTATCTATCTAGACATCTCTCTCTATATATATATATTAGTCAGTGCATCCCCCCTCTGTAATATTTGCAAGCCCTATATATCTATATTCGTATCCAGTCATGTCTTTACATATTTGGGTGTGCATTTCCCCCTGGAATATTTGCAAGCCCTATATATCAATATTCATATCTATGTAGACATGTCTCTCTCTATATATTAGTCAGTGCATTCCCCCCTGTAATATTTGCAAGCCCTATATATCTATATTCGTATCTATCCAGTTATGTCTATATATATATTTGAGTGTGCATTTTCCCCCTGTAATATTTGCAAGCCCTATATATCGAGATTTATATCTATCTAGACATATCTCCTTCTATATATTTATCTGTGTATTCTCCCTGTAATATTTGCAAGCCCTATATATCTATATTTGTATCTATCCAGACATGTCTTTACATATTTGGGTGTGCATTTCCCCCAGAATATTTGCAAGCCCTATATATCAATATTCATATCTATGTAGACATGTCTCTCTATATATATTAGTCTGTGCATTTCCCCCTGGAATATTTGCAGGCCCTATATATTTATATTCATATATATCTAGACATATCGGTGCATTTTCCCCTTGTAATATTTGCAAGCCCTATAGATCTATATTCATATCAAACTCTACATGTGTATATATATTTGCATTTCCCCCTGTAATATTTGCAAGCCCTATATAACAATATTCATATATATCTATCTAGACATCTCTCTATATATTTATCAATATCTATATCTATATAGGATTTGCAAAGACTTACAAATATGTGAGGGGAAAATTCATAGATAAAATTATTTATATCTATATACACATACACACACAGAGAGATATACAGATATATAGGTACCTCTATATATTTGTCAATATCTATATCTATATAGGATTTGCAAAGACTTGCAGACATGTGAGGGAAAATTTTTATACACACACACATCTCTATAGGTATCTCTCTCTCTCTCTCTCTCTCTCTCTATATATATATATATATATATATGTAGGATTTGCAGAGACTTAAAAACATGAGAGGAAAATTCATATATAAAAATAATGTGTATATATAGATACAGATGTACAGGTACATGGAAATCTCTAGGTATCTATATGTATATAAGATTTGCAAACATATGAGGGGAAATTCATATATAAAATTAATGTATATAGATAGATAGGTACATAGGGATTACAAAGGCTTGCAGTGGGAAATGCCTATATATCTGTAGGGAAGATTAACAGATATTTCCGGGGATAAGATCAATTGATATTCCTGACTTGAAAGGGTTTCTCTCCCCCTCCTTTCCCTTTTCAAAACCTTCCAGCCCGGGAGGAGAAGCAGAGCAGAAGCAGAAAAGGAAACACACTCTTTATGGAGGGGAAGGGGAGAGAGAAATAGATCATACACTGCAAGGGCTTCTCTCCCCCTCCTTTCCCTTTCAAAACATTTCAGACTGGGAGGAGAAGCAGAGCAGAAGCAGAAAAGGAAACACACTGTTTAGGGAGAGGAAGAGGAGAGAGAAATAGATCATACACTGCAAGGGCTTCTCTCCCCCTCCTTTCCTTTTTCAAAACCTCCCAGCCTGGGAGGAGAAGCAGAGCAGAAGTGGAAAAGGAAACACACTGTTTAGGGAGAGGAAGAGGAGAGTGAAATAGATCATACATTGCAAGGGCTTCTTTCCCCCTTTCTTTCCCTTTCAAAACCTTTCCAGCCTGGAAGGAGAAGTAGAGCAGAAGCAGAAAAGAAAACACACTGTTTAGGGAAGGGAAGAGGAGTCAGAAATATATCATATATTGCAAGCAATGGACTCCAGACTCCGCTGCCAGGCTTGATCCCATTATAAGCCAAGGGAGGCCATAAAAAGATCTGAAAAATTCGGCTTATCTTCGAGTATATACGGTATATTGAATTAGTTGCGACTCAATGAGATATTCATTGAAAAACGGTCGCAAAATGTGTTGCAGGATGTCCTGCAACAACAAAGTTTTTGCAGTTTAATAAACTTTTTCCATGTTTTTGTGATAGAACCAATTAGGAAATGACATTTATATCCCAGGAACAAAAATTGTGTTACTTAGTGTTATTTGCCTTGGGGCTAGAGTGGTCTTGTTTTTGGATACGCCTGACCTGTGGCCTCCTTTCAAGAATCGCTAACGGTATTCGCTCGAAAAGTCTTATTTCTTCGGAGGGCAGGAGCGAGGCTGGCGGCTGTCCAGATCTCTCCGTCTCTCTTTCTCGTTCTTGGCTTTCCGTGAAAAGCCTCCTGGAGAAACCAGATCCGACTGGGCACCTCTAGACAAACGGATTGGACCGTCAACATTTTGCAGATGTTCCCGAGTTAAATGTTAAACCATCCACACACACATATATATTTTTAAATGTCTCTAATCGGACGTTTACGAGCCTATGTTCTCAACCGGGAGCCAAGGAAGATGTGTGATAACACTTGACCGCACTAATAGGTTAATGCCTGAGACGCGTTGTTTGTTTGAAGGCGAGCGCTGTTCTGTTTGCCCTCGCTCATAAAATCCACAGCAGGGAGTGTGATCTTTTTTGCCGTTTGTGTTGTCCCTCCTTCGAACTGTGAAGCCGGGAGTTTGCTTAAACTGAGAGCAGCCAGACAGATTGGCCATAAAGGACTCTTACCATTTTGTTGTGCTACTTGAATTCAGATTGGGGCATCCGTTCTGGCAAGGGGGAAATAGGGACGTGGACAATGTAAGCTTCTGGGATTGGCTGGCACTACAAAGACCCCAGATTTCCAATTTTGAAAAACTATCACGTTGAATATCATCCTTGTGAATTATGGTTGAACGTGACCTCCCCCTGAATTTTGTACTCAGATTTGGTTTCCGTCTTCAAGATATCTCATTATGTTTATACAGTCTTGATTATCCAACCTTCGCTTATCCGACATTCGGATTATCCAATGCGCCTTGACTGCATCTGGCTAGGAAGTTTAGAAACAATGCTCTTCTTCTTCCTCAGAGAATTGCAACGAGGCTCCCCTTCCTTCCTCTCTTCCTCCTCTGGCTCCGGACTCTGCTTCCCTCCTTGCAACGAAGCTCCCCTCCCTCCTTCCTTCCTTCCTTCCTTCCTTCCTTCCTTCCTTCCTTCCTTCCTCTCTTCCTCTTTTCCTCCTCTGGCTCCGGACTCTGCTTTTCTCCTAGCAACAAGCCTCCCTTCCTCCCTCCCTCCCTCCCTCCCTTCCTTCCTTCCTTCCTTCCTTCCTTCCTTCCTTCCTTCCTCTCTTCCTTCTCTGGCTCCTGCTTCCCCTCTTGCTGTCTCTCTCCTCCCTGGGGCCTTGCATTCAGTTTCTGTCTTCAAGATATCTCATTATACAGTAGAGCCTTGCTTATCCAACCTTCGCTTATCCGACATTCTGTATTATCCAACATGCCTTGGCTGCTTCTGGCTAGGAAGAATAGAAAAAAGGCTCTTCCTCTTCCTCAGAGAATTGCAATGAGGCTCCCCTTCCTCTCTTCCTTCTCAGGCTCCGGACTCTGCTTCCCTCCTTACTGTCTCTCTCCTCACTGGGACTTCGCATTCAGCCCAGGCAATGCTTCTTGAAAGCAGACTCCACGTGGGTAAAGAGGGGGGGGGGAACCAAAACTGCCCGCTGCCCTGTCTGCTCCACCGGCCTAGTTCTTTGGCACACTTGACCTCGGCACCCATCCTCGCCTCGCCCCCTCCCTGCAGCTCCAGCCCGGCTCCCTCTCGCTTATCCGACATACCATATTATCCGATGCACCTTGGCTGCTTCTGGCTAGGAAGAATAGAAACAAGGCTCTTCCTCAGAGAATTGCAACGAGGCTCCCCTTCCTCTTTTCCTTCTCTAGCTCCTGCTCCAGACTCCACTTCCCTCCTTGCTGTCTCTCTCCTTTCTGAGACCTCGCATTCAGCCCAGGCAACACTTCATGGAAGTGGACTCCACATGGGTAAAGGGAGAGTCCTACCGAGGCTGCCTCCTGCCCTGGCTGCTCCACCGGCCTCGTTTTTGGCACACTTGACCTCGGCACCTATCCTCGCCTTCCCTCCTTCCTGCAGCCCCAGCCCGGCTCTCTCTCCCTCTCTCTTTTTCTCACCAGCAGCGGAAATGTTTGCTTTATGGAAGAGGGTGGTAAAGAAAGAAAGAGAGCAGGCACTGAAGGTAGAAGGCAAGGAAGGGGGGTTGCATGCGGGAGGAGCCCGGGAGTGATATCGAGAGTGATATCAAGAGCCCTCGTTCCCTCCCTCCTACCTTTGCTTGGGTTTAATAGGCTTTTCTTTAATCCCTCCGTATTATCCGGGATTTTCGCTTATCCAACGTTCTGTTCACCAGTTTATGTCGGATAAGCGAGACTACTGTATATACATGTATTCCAAAATCTGAAATCCCAAACACTTCTGGTCCAAAGTATTTCAGATAGGGATGCTCAACACCTACAACTCTAGGATGTGCATCTCTACCTTCAATAGTAAATCTCCGCCTGTTCCAAATGATCCTGTTCATCCCACCATAATTGTATTGTCTGCCTAAAAGATGTATTGTATTTGAAGGCAATTGGTGGGTTCAGAGGTACAGCCGATCCACTCTGGGTTTATTCTCGTTCTCCAATGTCCTGCGCCGTATTCCCCAAAATAAATTCCATACCTTGCATAGCAACCTCCAAGTTTGAAGGAAAACCCCCCGAGTTGGGTTCATGGAGCCTCAGGATCAGAAGCCACAATCTCTGCTGCTGTGTTCGTTCTGTTTTGGGTATTAGTACGATGAGGTATGGATGCTGTTGTAATATGGACATTTGACTGTAATTTATTTGGGTTGCGTGCTTGTACAAAAGGGAGAGAAATAAAGACGATAACTCACTGTCCTTGTCGTTGAAGCTTCATTGAATTCCCACCTCATCCTGATCAAGGAAAAGAAGG